AGCGTTGTACATTTGTAACCACACACATAGTTGAATCCAGGATCTTTTAGTCTAACAATCAACATGAGATTTTTTAAAATAAATATGCATATCTCATATGATTTAAACAATTAGACTACTTTCTTTTTCAAAAGAAATAAATGTTTTAAATAGTACCGCTTATTGTTTAAAACTGCCAAAAATTTAGTCATTATGGAATATTTATCAATATACAAGTCATTGTTATTTAATCAGTTACTTGTTTAATCACTTCTAATTAGTAATAAATACAATCAAGGTGTTCTTAAATGTAGAGCAGTTTCAATTTGTAATAGTATATATGATAATAGAATAATTTACATAGTAGAATTAAGATCTCACATGTTGACCGAACTTCAATCGATAAGAATATCTCAATTAATCTTTATATAATGGTCACATGAATATATAATGGAATTCGTAACGAATTCTAGTGTTTTTCTTTTCAATTTGTTATCATTTATAATAGAAACTATACACTTAATTTAATGATACATGAAAAAAAGAAGAAAAGGGGAAGACTAAAATAGATCCAATCTCATTAAATCTATATAAAAGTAAACATTTTATAGAACGAAACACTATAAAAAATTCAGTTGAATGAATGCCTATCATATAACTGATTTGTAATAGTTTAAACATTGTAAACTAATTCATTGATTGTATTGAATATTATTTAATATTCTTGTATTGTCCTTTTGTACTATATAAACTTGGATTAATTTTAATTTGATTTTAAATTTTTTGAAGAAATGGTCTAAAGTGAGTTACGAAACATCAGGAAATTTAATTTACCTACTTATTGGGATATTACAAATATATGGATTTTGTTAGTAACAATCCACTACTAGCCACTATACATCTTTGCTTATAAAAGTTTGTGAATGAAGGCAATATCAAGGCATACGCACAGTATGCACGTATGCCAATAACAGACTGATCAATTGCAGTCTTAAACCTTAATGAGAAGATACAAGTAAAACAATACCAAGTGAATCTACTCAATGCTTAATTTATTTGAAATTATCAAGTCAAACTATGGTAATGATACCTACTTAATAATTTTTCAATCATCAAAACAGATTTACTTAGTGAGGAAGAATGTATTTGTAAAATCTCAGCAAAAGAATTTGAAGTAAATCCAACGTGTCACCTGGCAATCTGGTTCAAGCTTTTCATGGAAATATATAAATTCACTTAATGTTTAGTACTTTAAAAAGTAGTTCATAAGTTGTCTTTTGTTTTATTTACTATGGACATTTTACAGTTTTGTCAGAAATAATTTTTAAAAAACACACAAAATTTGTAAAACATTTCTGCAGCAATTTGGAAGACTCTTCCGGTCTCCCACATTGTACGAGCAATCCATGCACCTAAATAAATGATCGCTCTGGTTGTCAGAAGCGGCATCAACCTCGTAGCTTCCGAAAGAACTAGGCTTTCACCATGAGACGTTATAATTCTTCTAAATAAAGACCTTCTGACTCCCAGGGCAGAGTTTAAGTGGTTTGAATGATTTTTTCTGGTTAGCGTTTTTTAGCGAGTTAGTTTTCTACGGGATGGGGTTGCTAACTCTATGCTCAACCTTCCCCCTCTATCCGGGCTTGAGACCGTCAGTGCTCCAGGAGGAGTTTAAAAAATTTTACAGAAGTAAATTAATTGATTGTTTAATTAGAATAATATTTCATTGTTACGTAAGAGATACATTTTCATAAAATGGATTGATTGATTTCTAATAGACAACTAGTATACTTTGATGAATAGAATAGTGAAGGAAATATGAATATTAAACTATTTGCTTAGATTAATATGATTCTGATCAATGTGCAAATGACCTCCTATGAATTATGTCAATCAATAGTATCTATACTATTGTTATTATATATGATTTGAAGCTTTTTCTATAAGATTGATTGAAATAATAAAAGAATTTCAAGTAAATTCATATTGACTGGTTTAGGGATTTATTTTTTTTTTTAAAATTTATTGCAAAATGAAAGATTATTGAAATGTACTCGTCTTGGATCCAGAAAAAATGATGATGGGTAACTTGAAAATCTGAATATAAAATACAACTATTGTGTTGCGTTGTGGTGATTTTCTAAAGTATATTTAACTGTTGTACTATGTGATATTATTTCTTTTTCTTTTAATTAGAAAAGTTCTATTTTTCTACAAAACAATATAATTAGGGTAATGATCAGTATTTAAGTTGGAAGAATGCACCATCAGATGATCAGCTTACGATTCTTTAACATCGTGCATATAAATAAAATTAATTGAAGTTCTTCGTGAATTGAAATTATGTAATGTATCATTGAAAATCAAGAGGCATTGGACAGATTTATCGTTCAAGAATCAGTCATTTTAGTAGCACTCACTCATTACCTGGCTAAGGATGATAAAAGTTACCTAGAAACAGAAGTTCAAAGCCAAACTACAATTCTTTGCTGATTATTAAGTAGCTCTAAAATAAATTTCGAAAGTTTTGTTATAAATTCGTGATAGGTAGAGTTCAGCGTTTTGAGTTGAAGCAAGTATCCACTAATTAGAATAAATGAATTTCACAACATGTAATTAATCAACTAAAGTTGGAAATATGAATCACTCATTTTCGACTTATTAAACTAAAGGTTACACACCTACTATGAGATTCGAAGTTTCTAAGACCGACCTTTGTAGGGGTTATGGATGCATAGTACTAAAAAGTCACATACTAAGACTGGAAATTTGTTCAATGTTTCCTTGTTTTACAGTTTATCTAGCGTAGACGGTCCATGATGTAAAGACCACAAAATACATATGATCCAGTTTCGAAAAAATAACCGAAAAAGGGGAATGAAAAGTATGCGATAATGTTAAACTTAATCATTTAAGTAAAATTAAAGTATAAGTACATTCTTGCTTCTGTGATTGACTTGAAGCATATTGAACTCAGATAGATTACGATTATCAAATAAACTTCAATCAGAAGATATTCTCCTCAGTGAATTACGACGAGTTAATGCTGTGCAATAATCTAATGGTATCACGCTTGTGTACTTGTCATAAAATTAGCTATTTCATACATTGTCTTAACAAGGTATTATTAATAATAATTATCCTGGCATTTTAGTAATCTAAATTTATTGAAATTCTATCAGATTGTAATGTCCTTTTATTTATTCATTCTTTTGATTACTTATTTACTTACATCTGTTACTCTCAGTGGAGCATAGGCCACCAACCAGCATTCACCAACCCACTCTGTCCTGGGTCTTCCTTTCTAGTTCTATCCAAATTTTGTTCATTTTTCTCAAGTCTGTTTCCATTTCTCGGTGTAATGTGTTCTTTGATCTTCCTCTTTGTCTTTAGCCTTGAGGATTCCATGTTAGGGCTTGCCTTGTGATGCAGTTGGGTGGTTTCCTCAATGTGTGTCCTATCCACTCCCAGAGCTTCCTTCTGATTTCTTTCTCTGCTGGGATCTGGTTTGTTCTCTTTCACAGTAGGTTGTTGCTGATAATGTCTGGCCAACGCATCTGAAGTATTTTGCTTAGACAACTGTTGATAAACACTTTGATTTTCTGGGTGATGACTTTCGTAGTTCTCCAAGTTCACACCCCATACAGTAGAACTGTTTTCACTTTTGTTTTGAAAACTCTGACTACTGGTGTTGGCAGTTGACAGTTGTTTTGAGTTCCAGATATTCTGCTCTTGCTTTGCCAATCCGCGCCTTCACATCTGCATCAGATCAACCGTGTTCATCAATGATGCTGCCCAGATATGTGAAGGATTTTACATCCTTCGAATCTTCGCCAAATGTGATTCGATTGGCGCCTGTTGTGTTGTATCGGAGAATCTTGCTTTTTCCTTTGTGTATGTTGAGATCTACTGTTAATGAGGCTGCTGCTGCACTGCTCGTTCTCTCCTGCATTTGTTGTTGCATTTGCAATAGAAGAGCCAGACCATCTACGAAGTCTAGATCGTCGAAACGCACCCTAGCAGTCCACTGTATCCCACGCTTCCATCCAGATGTTGACGTCTTCATAATCCAGTCGATCACCAGGAAAAAGTGAAAGGTTGAGAGCATGCAACATTGTCTGACACCGGTCTTTACTTCGAACGTATTCATTCGTTTACCTGTTCTTATTGTACTTCATAACATCCGAATATCAAGATATTTATTTTGGTTGATAAAATTCTAAGAATAGTGGCTAGCTAAGTGAAGAAAATAAATAATAGTAATAATAATAGTTCATTGTTTATTAAATCAAACAATACTGTAAGTAGAATACTTTATTGTAAATTTTAATGACTGTTATTATCATTATTATGTAACCTAGTAGAGAAACTACTGATATTTATAGTAAGTAATTTCTGGCTTCAAATTTCAGTGAGCACATAAAATAAAAAAAAATCCAGGCAAATTCACTTGATAAATTTTTCATTTTACATTTTATTTATTCCCGTATTGGTATGTGGTACTGTAAGTAAAATATGATTGATCATTGTGCGTGCATAAACAGGCATTCAGTTTAATAACTATTAAATATGTGATTTCTTTTTCTCTTGTTGATTTCCGGTGAGTAATTGCTTGTAACTGTGTTGAATAAATTATCTAGTCTACATTCTAGTTCTTTATTCTGGATCGTGAAATCGTGGATCTGATATAATGTGATTAGTCTATTTATCGTATTCACGTATAAACATAGTGTATGTGAGAGAGAGAGAGAGAAAAAAGAAAACATTTTAAACCATCCGTTATATCAACTATTAAACAAATTTGTAAATGCTTCTAACAGTAGAGTTAAATATTAGTGTTTAACTTATTTAATACAAAATGTGTTTTTTTAAAGAAAAGTGTATAGAGGAACTTTGTATTCAACATACTTTATCTTTACATTAACATTGTCTGTACACATGAATCAATCGTTTCTTCTTTGTTGTAGCATGTTCGAACAAGTAGTTGAATATCTTTTTACTATTATTATTATTATTTTTAGGATGATGCATACGGTCAAGATTTGTACATGTTAAATAGATGTTTAGATGATATTGAATGGTTTGAAAAGAATTTTAGAAGAAGTTTTAAATCTTCACCAGAAGAACTTGACAATAAACATAGTAAGTTTTATAACAATAAAATTATTGATGAAATAGTATCTTTTCTTTTCAACAGCAACAACAACAGCAGCAACAAAAAATCAATAATTTTATCATGCTTCATAAAATAAAAAAAAGTTGATTCCTTTAATTTACTAACAAGATACAGTTTTTTTCTATTCGACGTTGATTGTTGGAACCAACAACAATTTTTTTAAAAAGAAAAGAAAAGAAAAGGAAAGTACATTTACAAAAAAGGTGTAATAATCCAATGATGGCTTATGCTGAGTCATGAAACGTTAGAAAATTTAATTTTTCGACTCATTGGATTAAAGATAGTTAGAATCATTAATTGAAAGGTTTGAAAGAAGATAGATAACATCACTGTGATTCTAAATTTTCCATTGTTAGCCAATTATTTTTGAAAGAAAAAGAACTATAATCCCTAAGTACTTTATACTAATAACAATGATATGTTCTCTAAGTGACTAATTTCTAGAGGTAATTCTTGGAGTTATTGTCAAAAGTTGTTATTAGTTGAGCTCAGTCATGTGAGAAGTGAAATAGCCACCAAAAGTATTGAAAGACGATTGCACAATCTTAAGTATTGAGTGAAGTTATATATATGAATCATTGAATTTCAGTGCAATGATCTAATAATTTAACTCTCTTCAAGACCTGAAGGTCCTGAGTTCAATACCCAGTGGGGTTATGAATGAACCTTACTGAGGAGTTTCAAAATAGCTGCCTAGTGTTTACTGGTTTCGCCAGTTGTTTAACTAGGATTAGTCCGTGATGTAAATAGTCAATTTATCGTTTAGGATAAATATTTACACACTGAGATGTTTGTTATTTACTAAGTTTCTAAGGAGCTTAATGATACAGAGCACGGATTTCTGAACTAGTGGTTCCCGGTAAAGCTATTTAATAAAAAACTCAAATCAATCATAATTATTTCTATAAAACGAATGCTATGAACTTCTAATTAAAGTTTAAAGATAGAGGCAGGGAACTTCAAAGTCGACTTACCTATAGTAAACAAATAAAAAGTAAACTGAATTGCAGTACAATAGATTATTTATACTGCATCCTCTAACAACAATGTCTGCAAAGTCATCCAGGAGCGCTCTTTTAGTTTATTTCAAGAGAAATTTTAATAATGATTACCCTCCAAAATGAAAGAAACAAACAAATAAGACTATAGAGCATTTGTTCTACTCAAAACTCATTATTATGTATACATACATTTGAAACATCTACAATCGCTCTTAGTACATATAACAGTAACAATATACGAATGATCCGACTAGTTAGCTTTTATTGAAAAGACTCTATATTTCCTATACTTGTGAATTAGTCAAACTATTAGCCACAGTTAAATTCATGTTATTTCATCTTGAACTAATTAAAAATTGTGAATTTAATTTTGTGAAAATTTCTCATTAAATAATTCATCATTTTATTTATTGAGATTATGAGTTGATTGATATTGGACCATCATTCAAAACCTGGAAGCACTGGATGGCTGTTTCTTCTTATTTTGGTACTCCTCAGCCGAGCGCATCCACAATCCCACCTCATGAGATTTGAACCGAGGGCCTTTGGTCTCGCGCGCAAACACTTAACCTCTAGACCTCTGGATTCAAATCCCGCGAGTGGAATCGGGGATGCGCACAGATGAGGAATCCCACAATAGGACGAAACAACCGTCCAGTGCCTCTAGGTTTTCAATAGTGGCCTAACATCAATCGGTTCATGTTCTCAATCAAAAACGTAATAATCTCAACAACCCTTATACTGATAATTCATCATTTTGTTGAATTTTTTATAGCTATAAATGTAAAACAAATTAATGATGAACCACCAGATTCTACTATAGTAATTGATTCTTTACAAAAAGTTAAATATGCATTAAATATTATTGAAAAAATTCGTAAATCAGTACCATATATATCAAAAGAAATTTTTATTTATTTAATAAGAATTGTTCGTAAAGTTCATACAGTAGCAAGATCAAAACAAATTACTAATTACAATTCTAATATTGTAGTTGATGTAATTGAACCATTATTGAATGAAAATACTATTACATCAATATTTAAATTATTATCAATTAAAACTAAAGAATTATGGTTAGAACTTGGACCTGCATGGAATACACCAAGGTAGGTAATTTAAAAATATACTAATTTTATAATTATGATCAATTCTATTATGAAATGATTGAACTAAACAATTGTCTAGTGATATTTGATTTTCAATGGTTATTTAACTGATATGTTAAAGTAATCTTTGCATATCACCAAAATTAACGTTAATTGTGTATATCAGTTCTAGTGAGCCATCTGATATCTCCAGTATCTTGAAGGAACAAATAGCGTATGAACCAATTATTAGTCATCGGTTACCATGGGACAGCATCTTTTGATGTTGTTCCACTGCATTGTGGACCAGACCTTCACTTCAAGGGCTCCTGATGTGGCCCCTGACAAAATAACATACTTCGGTTTGAGCACCCGATTAGTATCATAACCCACACAGAAATCGAATGATTTATGTGGCGTATATGTATTCGGTGCCTTGTTGCATCAATATTTATGTGTTCAAATAAATAAATAAATAATAATAATAATAATTTAAAAACATTCTCCTTTCTTTTAGTCCAATGATTTATAGCCTTTCACTTACTAAGGCTTATTCCATAATACACTTTTTGTATGATTTAATAAACAAATACATGTTAATCTATGGAAGTAGAGCATACTTTCTTTTTTTTTAATAACACAATACAGATTTAATGATAGATTAATATCATTTAGAGAATCATTGTAAATCTGAAAGTATTGTAGTGAATGAGAACACAAGTGGGGATAATCGAGTGTATTTGAATACCAAATGACAGATCGTCTTAGTAAAATCTGATAACCATACAGTAAAAAACTCATTTGCAAAGTTTCAGTCAATCGTCTCAGACTTGATTGTTCTTTCGTTTGCACACTAATCATTTTCTGTCCTCGTTCTGTTTTCTTTGATCTTAACTTTCTGCCTCCAGGCATTTGACTTTCGATTGATGATACCTACTATCTGTAGATATCAGTAGCACACACCACAGTATGTCTGTGACGCAAACCAAATTTAGGCTGCACGACATCTCCACAAAATTATTCTAAGTAAATAATAATCACAGATTTTCAAGGTTCGAATTGGAGGATCCGACGCATAAAACATTCAGCTAAATATCAAGTAAGGAAGTACATAACAAATGGTTTACAAAAAATCAACATTTTAAAAATATGAACAGATGATTTTAAGCTGTGTGACTTAATGACCCCGTTATAACCTCTGAAAGTCCTGTATTCAAATTTGTGTGAGGTTCTATGTTATTAGGTAGTCTCAATAAAGAATGAGAAAGATATCTAATACCCCTTGATTTTCCGTGGATCGCTAGCTGTTATTAATTCGTATATTTTCAAATCTATTAAAGTATTTGAGAAATATTTCTAAATCTATGGTCATTTACTGGGTTATAACATTTTTATGATCGTGAAATATTTGCCATTTGCTATTTGCTCATCAATAAATGATAGACAGAATATGATTTGCTTTTAGATGTTATTAAATTTCACTTCCGAAATCCCCTGATAATATTTCGTACGAATAGAGACACAGTAATTGAGTTAAGTGATTTAGTTATGAATTTTATACTATCATCCTGAATTACAACATCAAAACCGATCTCGAATTTTCATGGAGCTTACAACCTTAAGTCTGAATACGTCGGTTGAATTTGGCTCATATATTATTAAATTATATGTCGCTTCCATTTCATTCGTTATGTATGTATTATAAATGATATCAGGAATAATTACGAATAGATTTTCCTTGCTTAATCACTCTGAGTGAACGACTTAGGCAGTGGTTTTTATAGTGAATTGACTTCATTTGAGAAACAAATGTAAACTAAGTGGTACCGAATATCTGTTTTGTCTTTGTTCAAGAATTATCAAAACGTTTTTCCAATGATCAATACACAAAACTGATATAAAGTTCTTCATGTATTACGCTGGACAAAATACATCCATACTACTATGTTAGAGACTAACCATCTACATCTTTGACTACAGTCAATGTATAATATGGCTTTGTCTTCATCTGATGTCATTGAGAAATTACTGTCTCACTGTCACTTAGATCAATTCTAAAATGCATCTTAGTTTTCAACAATACTTTCATGAAAATAACCTTTATACGTTACAAAATCTCCATGACAAATGATATTACTTAATTAAGGTATAAAATGATCACAATAAAATTACATTCATCATTCCTAAAGAGTTTTATCATAAATAGTAAAATCTATTAAAACAAAACCAATTCATTTATCTATTCATAGTTCATTCATTTTCTTCCAAGAATTTTATTGTTATAACTTTTATTCACTTATTTTTCTTCTTTGTTTTAGTTCAAAGTGGCCCAATCCATTGAACATTTATATGCCAATATTTTATCATCCATTGAAAAAAAGATCTAGACATAGATCAAATGAAGTGATTAGTCGAAATCCAGTAGTAGGTATTTGTTGATGATACTATTTTTTTTGTTTGTTTTACGATGTCAATATAAATTAGAACAAATGATACCTTATTTTAATACGAATATATAAATTTGTCTAATTTTAATAGGTTAATAATAATCCGAATAACTTTGATTCAAGAAAAATGATGCAAATTTTTAGTAATAAGTATCTTTTAACTCAGACTGATTATTATTACTTAGTCTTCATCAATCACCGAATAAAAGTTGTACCATATGACTTGCTGGAATGAAATGATGATAATACTTTGTATTTGAACTGGGTAGGTAAAGAGTTTGGCGTTGTCAAAAGTTCTAGTGATCATAGGTTCTACCGAGTTTATGGTTGTAGATGCATATTGTTACGAAGTTATAAAGCAAAATAATAAAACGATCTAGTACTCATGATTTCACTGGATAATTCAAACACATACTGATAAATGGGCAGGTAAATGTTTATTTTGTTTCATATATTTTTCTCATTATCTTAATCTATAAAAAGTATTTCTGTTTAATATGATTAAAATTAGATGACTTGGTGCTTAGCTTTATTTAGCATTTCACTTAATAGTGTAAACCATTGCTAATCAATTAAAGAAAGACTAAATTTTATACATCATCATAGAACCAAGCTTTTTGTTAGTCATTCGAAGATACTATATAGTGATCATTCAGTCATATTCACTATGTTGCTGAACTCTTGAATTAACGACTTCTTAAGAAGCCTTTGGAAATCCATCATGAAGCTAGTCACTGACAATGAAACTTTAATTGGTAATGTTAGCTTAACTGAAGATAAACTAAAGTTGGAACATATGGAGAGTCAAATATGTTGAGGACGTTAGATCCCCAGAACTCACTTGGTAAAGGTTCTAATTTCGTAATTTTATTCTGAAAACTTGAATTTTATGTTTTCGCGTCGAGAGACGCTTAGTTGACCTACAGCTTGCATTACTCACCCGGAAATCCTTGACTGTCATTGATTGACGGATTTTTTCAGTGCACTATTTTGTGGCTCTCTCAAGGGCGTTTCTATTATTGTATAAATAAGCTTGATTTGTATGCTCAGTGACTTCGTATTTTCTGGGTGCTTGTAGAATACATTCTCTACGCCTCGTTAAATTTTCTTGATCTAGTTAGCAAGGTTGGGGACAACGGATTAGAATAGCCTATCGTGTCACTGTATCTTTAACTTTCGTTCCGTTTACCGAGTGAGGTGAACTCGTAATAGCATTCAAGTATATCAAAATATACGTCAATGTTCTTAAGTTATTGGACTTACATTAAGACATGAAGTTTTTGATTCCAGTATTTGTGGAATCGTTGGTGAGCACTTCTGAAGAGTTGCGAACGAATATGAAATATATATCTATTACTTTCTAGTTGATCGACGGTTTTACAAATGGAGTCAGTTCATAACATATACTATCTTTTAATATAGCTAATTATCAAGGACTATCGAAGAAAACTGTAATTATACTTCTATTTGATTGATTCAGGCTTCTGCATATTGTCAAGATGTATAAAGCATATTAAATGTCAAATAAATGAAGGCTTTAAGAAGCTTTTAATAAAATGCAGAGCTAATATATTACACCGTTCAACCATTCCCTACTGATCTAATTTGTTATCACAATATGTTTATATGCAATACATGTGTGAACTTATAACAAATTTCATATTTAATTGTCTAGATTTTAGGTTGAGTATAATTGTAGTTCATTAAATCACACTACATTATGTTATTCTTGAATGCATTCATATAAAAGTATAATTGAAGTCCAATTGAAAATACTAATGGTCATACTTATCATTTCAATTAGATAAGAAAGACTCAAATTTCTATCTGTATTCGCTTATACTACTTTTCTTAAACACTTCTTGGTTACAGAAATCAAATAGGAGTGTGTAAACAATAGGAATTCACTTACAATAACTAGATTGAAGTAGTACTTAATAAATTGTGAATTAAATCTTTCATTATCTAATAGTTCGTTATAAATCTGTATGTATAGTAAGTATCTATTTGTATCAATTATCAGTCTATGAAAGTAGCTAAAATTACTGATATACAGTAAGAAAAAACAATGCAAACTCGTAAAACAAATAAATAACATTAATGATCCTTTTCAATTCCCAAGTTTAATTTGAATTATTGTTTTTATTTCCTCGCTTTTTAGTCATAATTACCATAAAGAGAGGTAGTGATAAAGGGTTACCTATGGGGAATGGATAAAAAAAATCGATTCTTCTAACATTACATGATCTTGCATAGATCAATCAATCTATATTCATTTGGTATTGTTTGGCTTGTATCTTCTCATTGAGGTTTAAGACTGCATTTGATCAGTCTGTTATTGGCATATGTGCATACTGTGCGTATGCCTCGATATTGCCTTAATCTATAGTAGATAAATAACTTTTCCAAGTTAAAACAAGTCGGATTAATTAAATTATGTATTCAAACATGTCTAGACATGTATTAATTATTGTTTACTTAGATTGATGAAATATCTTGTGTATGCAGGTTACTGTAAATAAATATTATAAATTACAGTGTCATAAAACAATATAATTTTCATGTACTGTTTACAGCATGATTATTAATAGGGGACATGAAAACATGAGACATCTTTGATTGATTATTTATGATTTTTTGGCAACGGTAAAATTTCTCTATAGTTTGAAATGCCTATTAGAAGTACTTTTTTTAAATATATTCAAAAGTTGTAGAATTTAAAACCATTATTACGTGAGTACTAAAAATTTATTGTGTATAGCCTCGATGTATTTTAACTCAAATCAAGATATCATTTACTCTTCAAATATGAAAGTACATTATAATTAACATTATAATCTAATGTGTTATGTTGAAATGAAAAGAATTTAATCATTCATTCTAATTAAAGCTTTCTAAAAAGTATTTGATGTCATTGTAGATTACTTTAATTCTGTGTTGTTTAAGAATTCGTCGTAGTTCTGTTGTAGTGCTTTAATAATCAAGTGAAATAACACCGACTGTTCATGAGTGGAAACCTGATCCTAAAGTTTGGTACTTCATTTGTAGAAAGATATTATTTTGTGATAATATTCAGTAATTTTTTAGAGTTGGTTGGTGACATACAGTTAAATACAGGAAGTGCATTTCATCCGATTTGGAATTCATCTTCTGGGTTTACTTGTATTCCAGTGTAGTGCTCACATTGAGATTCAAACCCAGTCCCTTTATTTTGAAATACTCAAAGCGTCAACCATTGAGCTAGTGAAATATTATAACTACTAACTTGTATAGAGGTTATTAATATTATTTAAATGAATTAGTATTTTCTGGTTGTTAATGTTGAGGACTATAGCTAGTTACTAATTTTTGACGTGTTTTCATTATGAAATGAAAAATTCAGCTGAAAAGTTCCAAACAGGATAAATACAAGTCCCAGAATCTGTTGTTCGCTACTACATAACTTCACCGGAACCTTGTGAATATATAGCACTACAGAAACAATCAGCTTAACATGCCTATATATTAAAAGAGGTTGATCAATTGTAATTATTAATATCAACGACGAGAAAAAACAAACAATTATAAATATTTAATATTATTTATTGTGTGCAACACTTTTGTTGTTAGACTCTTCTATTTACCAGTTAATTCACATGCTTACATAACTAGCCATCTTAATCATTTTTGTAATCTACGTGATGTATATATCTGTATGCTTGCAAAAGCATAAAGATATATATTCAGTAATTACTGAAATTAAAGTAGTTTAGTTGAACAAGATAGTAACACATTATGAGTTTGATCGAAGAAAATGAGACTATTTTTAGTGAAAAACAACGTGTTATAAAATATTTGACTTTTATTTTTTATAGAGATTGATAGATTATCTCAGTGTTATATTGATTTTTTCAATTAGAATCAATCTTATAGTCGTGACCAAGCAATATCTATACCAGTTTTCTCCTTAGCAATTCTGAAATTTTAATGGAATCACTAGCCAGTCCAAGTTAGACAATCATAAAAGACCTGATCTAGAACTATCAGAAATTAGACAGACTGATAAGTGGTGTTTGTTGAAAATTGTGTACCATGAAATAAAGTAAATGGAAATGTTACACTACGACATGTGCAAGTATATATCATTGAAATCCTACTCACTGCTTTCTCGTGGCGGGAGTGTTGTTTACGAAATTGAGAGGACGAAAATCTAATGTTCGGTACTGTAACCGGATTGGTGGGTATGGAGAATCCATCTAGAGGAATCGGAAGACCCTGATTTCAAACGAATAGTGCACATGGACTCTATGATCCTAAGGGAAAAAATGGCGTATGAACCTATTATTGGTCACCGGCTACCATGGGCCTGCATCTTCTTACGTTACTCCACTGCCTTGTGGATCAGACATTTAGGTCGGAGGCTCCGGGTGTGGCCCCCTAAGAAAATCACCTACTTTGGTTTGGGCACCCGTGCAATATCACCGACTTTGTATTTTTAAGTTCATTTGAATTGTAATATGAAAATTCGACCATTTACATTTATTAATGAGTTACTATTCTTCTTTGCTTACACTGAATTCATAAAACATTGATTAGAAAAAGAACTTTTAGAAATTTATCTCAAAATTAGCCACTACTAAGCACTTGTTTATTATTTACTAGGGCAACTGTATGTAATCTATCAATTTGTTAGTGAAACAGTTATATTTAACAACAACGTTTTATTGGAATTACAACTATCAACTTACAGATATTAACATATAATCTCTGCAGTATAGTGTTATCCATGAGATGTGAATGTTCCAGTTTCTATCCTGTTTAAGGTTATGAGTCGTCAGTACTGAAAAGCCTCAATCTAAGATTCAGATGTTGTCCAATGCACTCTAATTTTAACAGCTTCTTCAAATGATGATGGTCTATTATGTCGATTTTATTTCAATTGCACAAAACCATCATGATGAAATTATTTACTTTCATTTAATTTTATAGTTTCACCTTTCATTAATTTTAGTCTAATAATAAACAATTAAAACTAGTATTATTTTCTTCATATGCATATTTCAGTTTAATTCACGAATAGTTCTGAAAGGAGCATCAGAAATCAATGATGAATATGAACCACATTTTCATGGTATGTTCTGATTTGTTCTATTTGTTTTTCTTGAAAGTCACTTTGTATTTTTTTTAAAAAAGCAACTTATAATAAGGAGTGAACAATTAAGGTGATTGATTCCTGAGATGATGAAGAAGATTTGTAGTTCAGGTGGATAATTTTTTGGTGGAGTTTTGTTCTTTATGCTGATTGGTTTCGTTGGTGATTGATTCCTTTCTTTTCGAAATCATTTTAATGCAACAGAATAATAAGATGGTGGAGAAGACTTGCAGCTCAGGTGGATAATTTTCATGGAACAAAACTTCATCAAAACAAAAACAATACAATAATGTTATCATTTTCATAGAAACCAATTCCTTGATTAAGGTTAAACAAAGTAGGAAGAAAAATAAATGCTTCCGAGAACAAAATAAATTAGTTCTATTTTATAAATTCACTTCGTTTACAAAACAACCAAGAAATATAAGTAATACAAATACAAATAGAAGTATGATATATTTTAGTGAAATGAAGCAAAGGAAACATCAGAACATAAAATATGGGATTAAACGTAGTTAAAATTGATGCTCGTTTAAATTTTGAAAATAAAAAAAGAATAAAAATATTACATAATAACAATGAAAATAATAATTGACTGTATAATTTGATTGAAATCATGAGGTGATCTAAGCTGAACAATCATTGATGACCTGGAAGTACTAGTTAGCTACTTCGTTTTAATATATACATCACGGAAGTGCACAACCAAAACAAATATCAGTGTCCACAATTCGTATACTAATAATAATCATGTACTTACTAGTGACTATCTTCAAAAAGGAAATTTCTGGAGTTCTATTGAGAAGCTATGACTAATAGAATGTAATCATGTCTGCTATGAGGAACTTATGCACCACAGGCAATAGAAAATGGTCGTATAATATCACGAATTGACTGAAGTTAGACTTGTACATCCACTTGAGTGATCTTGAAGTTAAGAGACCGAGTGCCCTGATTTAAACTTCCGGTAGTAGGGGTGATAGATAAGGACTAGTGAAGAATCTCATACTAATTAAGCATATATAATCACATAACTCCTTGTCTTTATAGACTTCTTAGCTGATAAAAACCCATTGAACAAAAGAACCCACTTTATTATATAGATCTTATTATTCTTGATCTTTTCATAGTATTATTATTTTAAATAACTGAAAATGGTTAAGTTCATAAAATGTATTAAAAGAAAAATTCAAATATAATTTAAAATTATCATTCAAAAATACATTCATAATAAGATGGTGGAGAAGATTTGTGGCTCAAGTGGATGATTTTGATGGAGTTTTGTTCACGACCAGATCCCCAGCTCAGAGAACAAAACTCTATGAAACATTCATAATCGAATGAACTAATTGTTGTACTGTTGTTTAACTGTAGTTTAATCATGCAAATTTATACATAAAGTTTACAGAAGATATTCTTTCACCTATTCAAACACAAAATGTAAACTTTACTAAAACTAAAATCATTCATATTCTCTTTACATGTATAAACAAATAAACAGTCAATTAAAATTTATTCATTTATCTGTTACAACTTAAAAGCAGAATTAAGAGCAACATTAATACTGATTAAGGTGGAATTTACTTAATCATTGTATACTATTTCAAGTTGTATATGTTATATTATTTTGTTGAAATATGGAACCTAATCACAAGTTCGAACTGATATTTTCATATCTTTCACCTTTATCGTTTGTAACTATAAAAATCTGGTAAAAAAAATTGGATGATTAGTGATTCCTTTAAACGTTTCGTCATGTTCATAACGATAATGATAATCAGTCAGTATGAATCTTCATTTTCATCTCTTCTACGTCTAGAAATTTCATTTAATTATTAAGCATGACTGACAAAAGATAATTTTCAAAGTTTCTCATAAAATTCTATAACTTTTGAGTTTTAATTTATAAACTGACAATGAACCTACTACAGAAATCATATAAATCAGATCATATTTTTTATATAAACTCGGTTTTAAAACACTAAATGTACTTTCGTCTCTAACCTGATTGTCAACTATTGAAATTTATTCATTATGTATCATATTAACCATAATCACATGAAAATTAATTTGTATAAATGATTAGTTTTATTCGGTTACTGATCCTTGTGACTTTAAATCCGACTTTTATCACGTGATTTACTCGTCAATCGAAATACGACTTATTCAATATAAGTACTGTGCTAAACCAATGACGTTCGATCAGTGTGAGCAGTCTTGCGTACTTATTGATCCTCTGTTCGTCTAGCCCATCTACTTGAGTTCAGAAAATCAATAACAGTTCCCACTATGCGAATCATTTATTTCAAACATACTTGGTTTATACACCAGTCAAACAGACCATATCATAACATAGAAAATAACATTGACACAACATCAAGCCAAAAAGTGGTTATGAACGTGGGAGACGGTAATTAATAAACTGAGTATAATTTAAGAACAGTAAATCGTATAATAATTATCTATAGGTCAAAATGAAGCTTATAATAAGACGAATATAGATATACATAATTTAGTTACAGAATAATTATATAATAGGGATATATACATAATATTAGTCCATTAATAGTTCTCGGAAGTTACCCGTAACTTAATCTTTACTAGGATATAAGACTGACCTTAAATGTTAGATATTTAAAACACATCGCTCTCTACATTATGCAAGTATATATATATATATATATATATATATATATATATATATATAAATATATGTATATATATTATTCATAGTTAGTTCATAGTTATATAATATACCTTTGTGGGTCAAGGTAATTTTGCATTGGTTTTCAGGAGAACCAGACACCACCCAGACTTTCACGTGACAACCCCAACACTACCGCTCAACCCCGTTTAACAGGAGAGCAGATCACCGCCCAGGCTTACATTTTGTAACCCGAGCAGTACAGCGAAATCCCGCTTCACAGGAGAACCAGACACCATATAGGCTTTAACGCTTCAGTCTGAATAATACAGCTTAATCCTGTGGAGCAATTACACAGGTACCAAGCACCTTGGTGGGCCATTCGCACCATTCATATACACATTCACGTCACATGTATAGATATTCCGATCAATGATCGCGTGAATCAATTATACTCAGCACGAACAGGCCAAAGTTGATCTATTCCGCTTACACGACAGTCAAACTCATTAATGTTAGCAATGGTCACATGCCTTATAATATTCCAATGACAATGGCCCTTGAAAACACTGAAAAGCGACCATCAGTATGAATGAAATCGGTTAACCAGCAAACTAATTTTATGCATAAACGGTCAGCAAAACTTGCTAAAGCAATGCCGAACTATCCACAATACCAATGGCGAACCTCCAGTCTCATATGAGACATTCAGCTCTACATAACCATACATATATAATGTTTTTGTTAAATAATTGAACATACGTGAAAGATATGTTACAGCCCATAAAAAAACTTCAATAGGTAGTTGAAGTTGATCGGATATTGATAATTGACAATGGAAGGTTCAGTGTTATTGTTGACTAACATAACACGATGGAAGATGTATTTTTGGCTCATGGTTATTCATAGAAACGAATTTTAAATAGTCAGCATCATTTTTTCTTTAGATTTCAAACATTAACCTTTAGTAATTAATTACTCCTTTTTAATAAAGAATTATTTAATATTTCAATAGATTAAAAGTATAATTGACTTACATATAATAGATGTTGTACATTTTATTCACATACAAATTGTAATATTCAATTGTTCAAGGTTAAATAAACAAATGATTTATATTTTATTTTTTTTTTTTTTACATCCATCAAATTACTTTCTATATCATTTTCCACAAAGACTGTAAATTAACCGTGGGAAGATCGATACCTTGTAATTTATGTTCTGAATGATAAAGTATTAAATTAAACAACTTAATTACTAAAGTGTAGATTTTCATCATTATCATCATCATTAGCAGCAGCAGCAGCACCATTATCAAACAGAATATCTTTTATACTATGTAACTATCATTACAGCATTATTACAAAATACAATCTTATTAGAATGGTACTTATAATTGACAAAAATGAATTATTCTTATGTGTGAATTAATTGAACTTTTGTTTAATTCTATTTATTCAATTGGATTAATTTTTACAGTTTATCTGACAATTTAATAAATAAAAAAGTGAAAACCGTAGGGTGAGACTATAATTTATGGACGAAGCAATTAGGTATAAAATAACAAGCCTTAGATTTTGGCGCGAAATTCATTCAAACATTTGGCTAAATAAAGTTTTGGCATTATAGCTGATGTTAGTTCGTGATGGTAATCCTAAATCTAATTCTCAAACTTAGCCATCAACTGTAAATCATAATTCCAATACCTCACACTGGTTTATAACCCTCATTTGATCCTAGTTATTAGGTGGACATATTCAAGGTCACTTTAGCTTCGCTCAAATGTCGTTCATAAATTATAGCCTCACCAAACAGTCTACTTTATAGTGTTTGCTTATCAAAATAACACGAATATCTGTTTAGTGTTATGTTAAAAACTCCTTTTCTGATAATATATCGCTATGATCGGTCGGTTAAAATGAGAAATTTATCTGAAGATTTTTGTCGGAAAGTCTTTAACACCTTAGAATATTCAAATCAATTTAGATCTGAATGTATTTATAATTTCTTTTTTCGCTAATCTTGTTAATATATTATGTTATGTAATTGAAGGCAATCAAAAAAATTTTTTACATATGAGCTTCCTGACGATTGATTTCTGGTACCAATATGTTTTAATTCAAATATTTCTGCTTGAGTTACATAGTAGTGAAATAACAGGTGGTACCACTGACCTATTTTGAATATGATTAATCACCTGTGTACTACTTATCAGTGATTCTTTTGTTGATTTTCCCTAAATCTCATCTATTTAGAGTACAAAGAATAAGCACATTATTTAGCATATACTTGAGAAACAGTAAAGGACTTGTTAACTAAAAAAAATTGAACATGACTTAAAATGGTTTAACTTGATTCAATATTAAGCTTGAATCTATTTAAAACTTGATTTTAGATCAATGTTTTTTTCTTAATTGAACATCTCATACATATTGTTTTAGTTTATCATAGAATACCTTAACATTTATCAGTGTAAATCATTTACATTTCATACAATCAAATTTATTTATCCTTTTAAAAAGATGTTTGTTATTATCATAACTTAGTTACTTAAATAGTAAAAAAAACTTTTTTATGACGCTCTGTTGAATTCAATAGGAAAAAGTACTTCATGTCTATTTGGAAACAGACAAAGAAAAATTGATGTTAACTTAGTATAAAAATACTTAGATACCATTATTGATTTACCTTAGATGATAATATTCGATGATTTCAAATTTGATCTATTAAGATTTTCTTACTTATAGCGTAATAGTTTGTTATTTTTTTAACGATTCATCAATTATGTTAACGATGTTATGGATGAACATTAACAACAATTCATAGAAGTATTTTAACTTGAATTCATTCTTTTGTGAACAGTTTTTAATTTACGAATCTAAATTAAAAAATGATATTTGTTATACGATTTTCATAATACATTAACCATGATCAGTTCAGTGTTTCCAGGTTTCCCATGGTGATCTAGCTTCAATTGATTCATGATTTCAACTATTGAAAACATTACTATAATATCCACAAAAATTTTCTGAACCATATATTTTGAAATTTTAACCATTAAAAAGTCTAATAGTTGAGATCATGAAGCTAGACCACCATGGGAAACCTGGCAACAATAGACGGCCATTTCGTCCTATTGTGGGACACCTCAGCAGTGCGCATCCACGATCTCAATTCGTGAGATTCAAAACCAAGACCTATCACTTTCGCGCACGAGACTATAACATCCACAAAACCCCGTCTGATAGAAAAAATTCTATTTGTGCATAATACTTAACCTAGAAGTCAAAATCAAACTAAAGTATTAATATAATGACTATAAATCTGTTTATTAGATACCCTTTTGTTTAAAAAATATTTATAATCAAAATTGAACAAATTAGATATTTGGTGCTTGACGGATTTCAACCATGATCATTACAGATATTTCCAGTATATTTTGCTCAGTATCCTTTTTTTGTTAACGCATCATAATATGTGTTATAAGCTTTAATTATCATTATTATTTTTATCAGGTGGTTTGCGTTACTTCCGCATTAATGATAAACAATATTTGGCCTATCAACGATTTCGAAAAAGAACTAAACAACATGATGAATTGTAAGTGTCGGTAAATCACCGGCGACAATAAAAATTTTTCCGCTGAAGTTTTGTCAATTAAATGACTTTTTAAGCGATGCTTGGTGGCTAGCAATGAAATACAGGATGTGCGTTTCGTCCCATTCGGGACTCGTCAGTTGGATGTGCCTGCGTCTCAGATTTTGATGTTCACTCTGGGACTCGAACCCAATACCATTCGCTTCGAACGCCATCACGTCGTCCACTTAATTACTGAGTGCTGATAGCGACTTGCTTGTGCACTGGGATGAACTTTATATTCACTTTGCATTGTTTACTTGAATCTTGCCATCAATGTAAAGTACCGTAATCGATCTAAGTTTACATTTTTTCGCAGTTGCATATAAGATTTATTTCACAATTTGATAATTTTGATAATTGTCTGAGGATCATAAGTTTTACTGTTTTACCACTGACTTACATAAAAAGTATACGATAATCTCTCACAACTTGTGGGCCTCCTGTTTTATAACTATACAAACATAATTATAAAATTTCGCATTTTATTCTGGCTCTAAATAAATAACTGTAATGCGAGACAAACATGTGTAATCCTACGCTCATATGAAATGTTTAATATCTATAACAAAGCCAGTTACTTCAAAGTACAAACCGCTATCACTGTCGATTAGTCTTTTGGAAAGAAACAAGATGCAATAAAATTCACATTTCATGCATATTATGCAATAAAAAACATGTCAATAAATCAAAACTGTTTGAATGGATGAATATGAATGTTATATATATATATATATATATATATATATATATATATATATATATATATATATATATATATATATATATATAAATGCAGAGGAAGCCGACCAGTGTAGTAGCAGCCTCAGTAGCAGTAGATGTCAATATACACAAGGGGAAAAGCAAGATTCTCCGATACAACACAACAGGCGTCAATCGAATTTCACTTGACGGAGAAGATTTGGAGGATGTAAAAACCTTTACATATCTGGGCAGTATCGTTGGTGAACACGATGGATCTGATGCAGATGTGAACGCGCGGATAGGCAAGTCAAGAGCAGCATATCTACAACCAAAGAACATCTGGAAGTCAAAACAACTGTCAACTGCCAATATCAAAGTCATAATTTTGAATACAAATGTGAAGACAGTTCTACTGTATGAAGCGGAAACTTGGAAAACTACTAAAGTCATCGTTCAGAAGATAAGTGCTTATCAAAATACTTCAGATGCGTTAGCCAGGCATTATCAAGAACAACTTATTGTGGGAGAAACTAATGTATCACAAAATTATCATCTACCAAAAGAGTTTTAATCCAAGAACAGAAGAACAGTCAAGAAATATACACGCTCAATTTAATGACGATTTCATAATAACTTGATATGGTTTTTCATTGATTTAAGTTTATAGATGAACTTTATCAAAAATCTGTTTAATATTTTATAATTTTTTCAGAATTATAGTCAATGAGGATTATTCTTGTCCTCGTATATCATCATAGTCATTGGATTCATCAGAAACTGAGGTTATGTTATTCAAATAAAAATAGCTGTCCATTAATCTACTTATATATATATATATATATATATATATATATATATATCGTGGGTGCGCACTGCTGAGGAATCCCATAGTAGGACAAAACGGCTGCTTCCAGGTTTTCCACGATGGTCTAGTTTCAATTGACTTATTATCTGAACTATTAAAAATTACTATAATATCCACAAAACCCCTTCTGATATTAAATTCTATTCAGTTGTCATGTGGTTTTTTCCCATGTTTTTTTGTGTTTTATATTCTCACGCATAAAAAAGATGTTTTTCACATTTAAACTGTTAATTAATTGTTTAGTTGTTTAAAAAAAATGATACTATTTTGTTTTTATCTGAGTTTTATTATGTTTGTTTATTTTATTACTTATTAAAAGTCTAGGTAAATATTTTGCACGTGATCTGCAATCAGTTCATAGTTATAATAATAATAATAATAACAATAATAATAGTAATAATAATATAAATGGGAATCAGGATTATGTGATCAAGGTGAGTAAATGTTATGGATACACCGAATTGTAAAAAACATGAAACTGTAGATATTGGAAACTTCTAAAGATTATATACAGTGGAATAGAACTATTTAGAGAGTTGTTAATTTTTTGTTATTGTAATCATTTCAGTTATTCAAGATGCTATTATATGTTTTTGCAAGGGTTGGGTTGGTGTAAATACTCCAACAGAGACTGAGCAGTTGAGGTCGAGAAATCGACAACGTTGAATTAAAAACGTTTACTAATGACTTCAGACATGTTGAACAATGTGATGATTATATGAACACATTAGTAGCTCAGTGAATAACTAGTTGGCACTAAAAAAATAACGCACTGGGTTTGATTCTCGTTGTGACTATTAACATTAGCATAGTATTCTGATAAGTCCCAACTAAAATAAAACGAGTTTCCTGCCTTTACATCCAGCTACGTACATTGTGATTTAACCACCTATATGAAACCCGTATATAGCTGACTCTATATGTAATGGCTCCACAGTTATGAATCGTTTAACTAAATATCAGCTGATTTGTAATGTAGTACTGTCAAATAATTTTCGGATTTATTCTAAATAGTATTGTATTCGTTTATCTTTAGAACAACCGTAATTTAATTCTTTGTAAACTATTTTCAATAAAAAAATTAACCACCCTGAACTTAAAAAGTATTGATTCTCGGATTATGTTTTGTATGATAGTTGAATAAACTAGTTGTTTAAATATATAAATTTAAATGTTAGCGATTGATTTCATCGTTTTCCATAATAAGATATGTTGACTGGTTTTTTATGAATTATTATAATATTATTATAATTCTTATTTACCTTTTCATGGAAATTCTTATTCAACTTAATGAACATTATATTGTAATAAGATTAAAGATTGCTAACTTAACAACGACACTTTTTGATAGAAAATAGTAAACTGTTACTTTGAATCACTTTTGATCTTTGAATCGAATACAATCTAAATTACGTTAATTAAATCGTAAGTTTTCTCTTAAAAATAAACTCTTTAGATACATATAAAATGTAATATCCTTATCTTCACTTTGTTTTCTTTTTTTGTTTTTGTTTTGAAGTTAACTGATAATCACAAAAAAAAATTGGACTCTGAACGATTAGTGTAAACTAATCAAAGATGTAAACATAAATTAAAAAACATTTTTTAAAAATAAATATGGTAAGATGCCTAGCAACTATACAATTTTTTTTTAAAAAAGGTAAAATAATATTACCTTTTTAATTGTTTAATTAATTCATTTTAAAAAATATAATAGTTGGATAGCTTGTTGAACATACAGTAATCAAAATGAATTGAATTCAAATTATATTGAGGGATATAAAGTGATCATTTAACATTATGGGCAATAAACTTTTCTTTTACAGAATACTTTCAAAAAACAAAATATTATCAATAATTTATTTAAATCTATTTCCATTCAACTTATTTATCGAATCTATACAAATTATGTGGTGAGACTATAACTTATAGACGAATCAATCAAACTTAAGATAACGACCCACGAATTTTGGCGCTAAATTCATTCATACATTTGGCAAAATAAAGTTTTATCATTATAGTTGATGTTTGTTTGTGATGAAAATCCTAAATCTAATTTTTAACCTTAATAATCAACTGTAAATGAGAGTTCTAACTGCTTTATAATTTTCATTTCATCTTAATCAGTAGATGTCCACTCTCAAGGTTATTTCAGCGTTACTCAAAGGTCATCCATAAATTTTAGTCTCACCGATTATGTTATTACATAATGAGTAAATTACATATTTGTATTTATTTATTTTTAACTAGTTCAATTCGAGTGGAAATCAAACAGATTAATTGATGACCTTCATTACAGATTGTATAAATATATTACATCATTTTATTAGTATTTTTACTAATCTATTTGATATAAATGATTTAATGAAAGAATGTTATTTACCTTTTGTGATTCAAAATAAAGGTGAAAGAATTACAGTTTGTTTGTTTGTTTTGTTAATTAATATTTCGATATTCTATGCAATATATAAGTAATATATTCACTTTGGTAAAAAAATTCACTTTCTGAAAGAACAATATCTTACATCTATACAATTAAATTATTCTAAAACTAATGTAATAAAATACATGATAAATGTATTAATGATAAATCAAAGAAAAGAAATACACTTGAAACTAGTTCCTCATATTTTTTCTAAAAAAGAACAAACATGGTTTACATCAAGTTTCTATATCCTTCGAAATTTTATTTGTTTACTTAAATAATTAATTGTATCATTGTATCTGCGCACAAACAATATTGAAATCTTTATCTTTTAATTTAAACAATCATCTGTTTACTAAAAAAGCAAAAAAGAAAAACAAAAGTAAAACTATTTACCATTCATAATCAGATTTTTAAAGAAAGATTCGATCTATATTATTACAAATCGTTATTTGATTATAATTTATATTTACACTGATATTTTCTTATTACTAATTGAATGATTATTATAATAATTTATTTTTTTGTCAAAAGCTATTGATTCCATGATTTTTCTTTTTTTTCTCTCGCGATTTCTTTTAATTTTGCTTCTTTTTTTTAATCTTTGATGTATTCTATTGTTGGTTAAAGTTATTCATTAATTTTGCACAGAAAAACATAAATCAATAAATACATTAAAGTTTATTAATGAATAAAATACATTTTCTCTACACTTCATTACCAGATAATCGTCAAAATATTTTCTTTAAAAACAATTAAATATTGGTTTCTATTGAGATAAAAATTATAGATGAAAGATAATCTTTGATATGGTAACTTTATTTTTAATTTTCATCTATTCATTTATTAGTATTTTTAAAGGAATATATCTAAATTCAGATAAATCTTTACACAATAGTTCATGTTAGTCAAATTATACTTTGTGTATCACTGATTGATTGATTGATTGACTGATTGATATATGATGGTGGTTGGAGGTAGTCAACAGTAAACTCTGGACCCGAATTTCGTGCTGTTTAGCACTCGTCAGCAAGGTGTACCTGTAATCTTGAGAAAGCTGGTACTCCTTGACGAATTCAATTCCATGTTTCTCAGCTTCACAGTCAAAGATGTTACCACTGGTCTATCCGGGTTGTGACCGACCTTCTGTAGGACTGAGATGTATTTACAATTGATTGATCACTGGGTGGTGATCAATGTCAAGTGTGGCAGGTTGTTCTTAGTGCAGATCGTCTCTGATTGTGAAGCTGGGTTACACGGGATTGGATCCGTCAATTAACATCAGGTTCCTCAAGATTACAGGTACACCTTGCTGACGAGTGCCAAATAGAACGAAACTCGGGTACAGAGTTTCCTGTTAACTACCTCTAACCACCATCTTATCTCAACACGGTGCACGCAATGTCGAGTAACCTACACTAGTGGCCACATTGCAAGTTGGTCGATAAGAATCGATCTACACTAAGAACGACCTGACACATATGACATTGATCACCACCCAGTGATCAATCAATTGTGAACTGATTGATTGAATAATGACACTGAATTTCATTCAATTTGTAATAAGATGGAACTTCTGCTTCTAACTTTGAATTCTATTACTTACTTACTTACGCCTGTTACTCCCCGTGAAGGAGCATAGGCCGCCCACCAGCATTCTCCATCCAACCCTGTCCTGGGCAATCCTTTCCAGCTCTTTCAAGTTCTTATTCATCTTTTTCATATCTGCTTCTATTTCCCGACGTAGTGTGTTCTTTGGCCTTCCTCTTTTCCTCTTCCCTTCAGGATTCCAAGTTAGCGCTCGTCTCGTAATGCAGTTTGATGATTTCCTCAATGTATGTCCTATCCATTTCAATCGTCTTTTCCTAATTTCCTCTTCAGCTGGAAGCTGGCTGGTTCTCTCCCACAAAAGGCTGTTGCTGATGGTATCCGGTCAATGGATGTTGAGTATCATGCGTAGACAGCTATTGATAAATACCTGTACCTTCTTGATGGTGGTTGTTGTAGTTCTCCAAGTTTCAGCTCCGTACAGTAGAACTGCCTTGACGTTCGTATTGAAGATTCTGACTTTGATATTGGTTGAAAGTTGTTTTGAGTTCCATATGTTCTTCAGTTGAAGGAATGCCGCTCTAGCTTTGCCAATCCTCGCCTTGACGTCTGCATCTGAACCTCCTTGTTTATCGACGATGCTTCCCAGGTATGTGAAGGATTCCACGTCTTCCATAGTTTCGCCATCAAGAGTGATTGGATTGCTGTTCTCCGTGTTGTGTTTGAGGACCTTGGTTTTCCCTTTGTGTATGTTGAGGCCTACTGATGCAGAGACTGCTGCTATGCTGGCTGTCTTTATCTGCATTTGTTCGTGTGTATGTGATAGGAGGGCTAGGTCGTCTGCGAAGTCCAAGTCGTCTAATTGGTTCTGAGCTATCCATCGTATGCCGTAGTTTCTCTCAGATGTCGAGGTCTTCATAATCCAGTCGACCACCAGAAGAAACAGGAAGGGAGAGAGTAGACAGCCTTGTCTTACTCCGGTCCTTACTTGGAATGCGTCTGTCAGCT